TCACATCGACTGTGCTAACCACAGGGGTAATAGCTTAACGCCAGTAGTGACAAAATTACTGGCCTCAATCCGCGTTCGTCGTCTCACTGCGGAACAAGAATCCCGGATTAAGGAAGATCAGGTAGGTTTCCGCCCAGGACGTGGCTGTATAGACCACATATTCACTCTGCGGCAGGTGCTAGAGCAGCGCCACGAATACAGCAGGCCGATAATAGCTGTGTTCCCGATTTAAAGAGTGCGTTCGATTCAGTCGATCGATCGATTCTGTTCGAATTAGTTGCGCGAAAAGGTGTTCCCACGAAATATGTGAACATTTTTCGTGCTCTATACTCGAACACTACAGATATCGAGAGATAGAGCAACTGCTAACCGCTTACCGAAGCTCCAAATAGAAGCAGGTGAACTGAGGTTTTCTACTCGCCTGTATGTTGATTTGTCACCAAGCGAGGAGCGACGCTCCGCGATTGTGCGTGGGTAGAAAACAGAACACAAACGCATGTCAAAGCAAGGTGGGGGTTAAGAAATGGAATGTGACTGAAAAGTGATGGGAGTCAAGTTGGAACTGGAAGACAAGGATGAAAGAGCGCAAGAGTGGATAAGGAGACGAGAAGTTCCGAACAATAGAATGCTCACCCCCATTTACACTGCACGATATAGCATGTAGAGCGCCTTTGGTTATCCTGTGCGACGGCCAGAGCATTGAGAAACTGTGTGAAGATGTCATTGTATCTGGTGGGCATAATATTGACAGGCTGTCCAAAACAACACACGAGAACGATTAGGTCTCTCAACCAAAGCCTTTGATTCGAAATCCTAATCGCAAGGCAGCGGTGTTTTGGCACCGGGTAGAGTTCGTTTTATGGACTAAGGAGTCACCTACACTCCAACCGCCAATCCGAAGGTTCAGAAGACTGAGTTCAACAGGTCTATAACCATCGACCATCACCATCATCAATACATGTTAGCTGAAGGTAAGAAACACACCTCAGCTGATGTTCCGCGATGGAAAAAAATAAGATGAAACACAACAAAAGAATTCAAAAAACGTAAAAAACTTTAGGGATTATATTATGCATTCCGTATGAGATCTTAATTGCATAAGGAATCTATAACGAGCATGGACAAAGAAACTTACAGCAGAAAGGCAACTGCAGCCAGGTCTTCGCCATATCAGCAATTGTGTCCAACCAAACGTGTTCATCGTCCTTAGGACCCAAGCCAGTCAGCCGAGATGCACCGACCGACGCCAACTTCGAAGTGAGAGTTTTCATTTCTTTCGACCGAGTCATCGCTTGGCCTCCCCTCCTCCTCTTCCAAACGCAACCCCGGCGCGCAAACAATGCACGTCGTGGGAGTCGGTGTGCCAGCATGCGTAACACGTGGCCAATCCATCGGAGCCTGGTGCGTGATATAATGGTGCTGAGCGGTTCACACGCTCTTCCTGCAACAAATACGCGACGCCGAACACGCTCATTGCTCACGCGGTGTTCCCACCAGACATGAGCTAAGCTGCGAAGGCAGCGATGTGACGAGCCTATTTATGTCTGTCGACCTAATGGGCCATGTTTCACAACCATATTGGAGAGTTGAACGGATGGCTGCGTTATAAACTCTGCCCTTCAGGGCGAGAGCAATACCGCATCTGCAGCACAGGTAGCGGAGATTGGAAAAAGAACCTCGGGTTTCGCTATACGGTTAGTGACCTCATCATCCTAGTCACAAAAACCCACAAAGTTAATATAGTTGCCCAGATACTTGAATTTCGGGGAGAGTTCTAGTTGAGCACTACCAAGGGTCAGCGCAGGGGTGGTCCCCTGTCAACCTTGGAGAAAGATTGTGCATTTCGATGGAGCAAAGCATAGCTCAAAACGATAGACAGCTAGTGCTAATCCATCCAGTGCTACTTGGCACGTTTGGGCGCTGTCACATTTGAGCGCAAGGTCGTCAGCATGCTCCATGTCAAGAAATCGTCCACATTGGAGCAACTCCACATGTTCTAATTTGTGTCCAGCGAACGCCGTTTCCATGACTTCCTCAACAGCGAAGTTAAAGAGGAAAGGTGACAGAGGGCAACCGCTGGAGTTATTGAAGGGCGGCGACAGTTTGCCGTAAACCCTCACTCTGTCCGAACTATGCGCGTACAGCGCTCTGAAAATGTTAACGCATTTATCGAGCACACCTTTCCTTAGCAGACAGTCCCAAAGGGCACGTCAATCGACTGAGTCGAAGGCACCTATTATGTCAAGTAACACGACAACGGTGGGTCGCCAATAAACATGGCGGTGCTCCAACAATTGACGCAAAGTAAAGAAGTGGTCGGTGCAGTCACGACATCGACGAAACCCGGCTTGCTCTTCGCGGATCTGAATTTTACAAATGCCGGTCAGTTTGTAGAGAACGACAAACGCAAGCAATTTAGAGGCAATTGAGGTCAGACTGATTCTCTTATGATTGCGGCATTCCAAACGGAGGCCTCCATTGAGAATTGGGACTATGACGGAGCGGTTCCAGTCTGTCGGGATAGTTTTCTGCTCCCACAGTTTCACTAGTAACCCGTGTAAATCATCTAAAAGAGCAGGTCCCCGGAATTTGAAGTAGGCTAGGACAATTCTATCGGCCCCTGCGACCTTATGCAATCTCATTAGTCTGATCTCACGTTTGACATCTGCGCGTGAGCGCGGATTCAAGAAAACGACCCAGAGAGGAGAAACTTAATGCCAGAGGAAAGAAGTGATAGCGCAGATTGCTTAAACTGCATTGCAAAGTGTTCGGCCAAAAGCTGTAAACATTTTGATAAGCTGTGGATCATCTGTCCACGCTCGTCGCGTGTGGTATCGCTAACACCAGGTCTCCTGCTGCCTGTTTCTCGTATCAAACGGAACAAGTTACGACGAGTAACAACAGCATTTCCGATGCACGTTGAGACCACCAGGCTTCGCGGTCTCTACTCAGGCTAGCACGTAGTTTTGCCCTGAGATTTTTGCGAGCGTCATTGTATCCGCTTCCAGCCAAAATACGTCGGCGAGCATCCATAAGTTCCAGAGACAGTGTAGAGAATCAATGTCCAGGTTGGCAATTTAATCTGCCATATGCGTGCTGATAGTAACATTTGAGGAATATGCAACCAGTGGTCTTCGACGATGTTCAGTAGACGTTTACACAACCCGGATGCCAGCGTACTTTGATACGCATTCAGAACACCCGGCTTCGCCAGCTGGCTGGTGTCTATGCGGTTACGACGACGATGCGGACGTCTGCCGAAACGCATCCAAAGGCCGGCACACACAAGAGCTTGATCGGAGACCAAATCGAGCGACAGTTTTGGAAGCAGCCTCTTCAGCAGTAACTGATCGCGATATAATCAAGTTGCGTCCATCGCTGGTCCGAGGTTGGTTGACGCCAAGTCACTCTTCTGCGGGTGGTGTATCGAAAGTTAGTTCTCGCGAGAAAGAGACGAGCACCTTCAAACAGGTGTAGCAACCGCTCATCGCTATCATTACGGGAGGCTTCACCATGTTGGCCGCCCATATGAAGCTCATCAGAGGACAATTTACCGACTTGGGCGTTTAGATCACCAGCAAGCATCACAGTATCCGCACATTTTTCTGTAACTAAGATCGTTAAGTTGGTGATAGAAATCATCTTTCACCGAATCAGGGCTGCAGTTTGTGGGGGCGCAAGCCGCAACAACAAGCAGGCATTGTCTGTCCCTGAGCGGCTTCGAAGCTCGAACGAGCTATCCAGTCTAACGGCGCACACCCGGCTGTTGACTGAGATCCAGTCGATCGGGGCATTTCCAGTTCGAGGACTCAAAACAATGCCGATGCAAGCTTGACCGGCATTTGAAGCAGCGTCAACTCCAGACAGGTGCAAGGAGAATGTGCCGCAGTGTCGCATGTGGGGGATCGCAGGGAAAGCACGGAGCTCGATTCGTGCAGGTGAGTTTCCGATACGCAGCACATATCGATCAATAGGGTTTCTAGTGCTCGGGTAAGTGATATCTGTTGAACAGTGTAGCAAAGTTTGCACGTTGAAGCATGTCAGCCTTAACGAGGATCGGGGGCTCCAAACACAACCCGATAAACTGGGATTGACCGCTATGTAAACGGGCACGTCAACAAAGTAGGAGTGACGCTCTGCGTGTGCATGTGAGTTGAAACTAGACGACAAACGCCTATCAAAGCATAGTGGGAGAGGGCCAAGAGCTGGGGGAATAAAACTGAAGTTGGAACGGGACGATAAGAGTGCAAAAGCGCGAGAGGGAAAATAAGAAGAGGGTAAGGCCTGGGCAGTAGCATCAAAACCCCTACCAGCAATTCTCGATGCAGCAGATAAGGCGCCGTTTATTATCCTCTACGAAAGTCAGAGCATCAAAAATTGTCTGAAGATTGGTTCATTGTATTGCGTGGGCAAAATACTATCAGGTTGCCCGGGTGATGCGTTGGACGGAGATAGCACAAGACTGAATAACACGGAGTAAGAAGTATAAGCTTTATTGGTCTAACAACGAAGGTGCATCAGCTGAAAGGTAAGAGTTGATTATGAGATGACGTGTAGTAGGGGACAAGTGTGTGCATACGACATTCACCCCTGATGGAAAATGGAAGAGATTTTTAAGAATGTGAGTTACAAAGGGAAATTCGTAAATAGTAAGAACGTGTACTCTGTTGCTGGCTTAGAATATCGGAATGGGAAGATGCACGAAAAGAAGTGCGGTCGACATCGCACGAGTAGCCATTCTCTGAGAGTTCTGGTGTTGAGGTTGGTGTATTGTCGGTTTGAGTGGTTAGGGGGTATCTGGTGACTCCTGAGTTTCAGGTGGTAAAACGGGAAGATCGCCTGGAGGGGCCACCCGACTGATGGAGACATTTTCTTCTCTACCATCAGGTAGTCGTACACGAGCGTAATGAGGGTTACAGCTGATGAGGCTGACTTCAAAGCTTCGTATTTCGAAGACCTGTTCATCCGTTTGAGTAAGACCGGGCCAGGGATATTCAAGCAGGATGGAATGGAAATTCCGTTAGTTGACCGTCGAGCAAAACAAAAGAGACGTTCATGAGGAGTAGTGTTTGTAGCAGTACAAAGCAACGAACGGATGGAATGTAGCGCGTCATGAAGGGCAAACTCCCACTGAGAAGGTGCCAGGTTTCTGGCTCGTAGAGCGAGTGAGATGGTATTCCAAAGGGTTCCGTTAAGACGTTCCACTTGGCCATTGGCTTGTGGGCTGTTGTGTGACTAGTTGCCACCCATTTGTCCAGTAGGAACTTGGAAAGCTCTGCAAACATGAATGAAGACCCTCGGTCTGTGTGTATGTACGCCGGCATACCAAAAACAACGAACAACTGGCAGAGGCAATTAAGGATGGTTGTAGTAAGCAAATGCAGGCATGCAAGTGCGAAAGTAAATCTGCTGTGTTCATTAACGACGGTTAGTAAGTATCTGTTGCGAGTTCTTGTAGGTAAAGGCCCTTTGAAATCCATACTGAGCCGTTCGAACGACTGCGTGGCTTTGATGAGTCGGCCTGTGGGTGGCTTGTAGAATCGGGGTTTTAAAGCTGCATGAACGGTGCATTTTGAAATCATGCCTTTGACTTCTTCAAAAAAGTAAGTTTTTAGAACGAACGAAATGAACCATTCTGGTTACTCTTAGGTGACACTGAGTTGTGGAGGTCTTGTAGCTTCGTGCCGTTAAAATGAGGCACACGTGATACGACTAGCTGTACCAGATCTGTAACTTAAGTCGTATTGGTATGCAGACAGTTCCAGTTGCCACCTCTGGATTTTGTCATTCTTAGTTTTGATTGTTTGAACATCACTGTACATGAAGGCTACGGATCGCTGGTCAGTGACAAGTCTGAATGCGTCCCAATGAGATAGTGTCGCCACTTTCTGACAGCTTCTACAATAGCGTACGCCTATTTTCAACAGCTGAATGGTGTTTTTCACTTCGAGATAAGGTAAGTGAGAAAAAGGCGACTGGGACATTGTTCTGACTAAGCGAAGCAGCTATAGCTATGTCGAAGGCGTCTGTTTTGACAACCAATGGAATACTGTAATCCACTGTCACGACCACAGCACTATGCAAGGCCATTTTAAGCTGTCCGAATGCACTTTCTACATGTGGTGGAAGGGGGAAAATCCGGTTCTTTACGAGGGGACTGATTTTGTTTGAAAGTGAAAGGAGCCACTGTGACTAATAGGCAAACATATGAAAAACGCAGCACTGAGATTTCAGATCAGTTGGAGATGGAAGTTGGCGCAGAGGTTTCATGCGCTCTGGATGGGGCCTGATTTCGCCCTTAGATTTATGGTAACCGAGGAGATGAACTTCTTCACGGGCGGTGACCGTTTTAGCGCCGTTCAAAGTTATGCCGCATTTAGCGACAGCTGCCAAAAGCTTTTGGAGGATTTGATTAGAATTGTCCATAGTTAAACCACACACAGTGATGTTGTCTATATAAGCAAATGTATCACTAAAACCTACCGTTTTTAATATCCTGTCGATAGTACGCTGGAAACAAGCCACACCATTAGTGACTCCAAATGGGATACGGCAAAACTGGAAAAGGTTACCGCATGCTTCAAAGGCGGTGTACCGCTTCTCGTGCTCAGCGATCTGATGATAAGCATTTTGCAGATCCACTGTACTGCATAGGCCATGATGAGAAATCGTTTCTATCATTTTGTCAATTCGTGGCAACGGATAAGCGTCTAGCAATGTGAAACGGTTGATCGTTTGGCTGTAATCAACAACCATCCTTCTTTTATGATTGGTATTTTTAGTAACCAGTACCTGTGCTCTCCAGGGAGAGCTTGATGATTCAATGATGCCGTCGTTTAACAATCGCTGTATTTCGGCTTTTATAAAATGTTCATCATCAAATGAGTGTCGACAAGACTTTGTAGCGAAACGTTTGCAGTCTGAAGACAGGTGGATAAATAGTGGACGTGATTCGATGTTGGCTGCAGTTAGTCCACATAGCGAGAAAGTGTCACGCCCCCCCACCGAATGATATTTCAACTTTGTTATGCAAATCAAGAAAGTCATGGTCAGCGCATAGATTACGCAGAACGGAAAGCCGAATGCCATTGTATACAACGTTTTGGTAGCGAATACAAACATTGCAATATCCAGTAATGGCGCATGAGAGAAGTGGAAGCCATAGTGATTTTGGAATCATAATGATAAATTTTCCAGTGGTTGGAGTAAACGACGGATTGAGACAGCTTTCATAACCACCAGTATCAATTAGGGTAATCCGGTGTTGTTTGCGAAAATTCTGGATGTTGTGCGAGACAAGCAGCGTGGAGCTGAAGCCGTCAGAAACTGAGCATACAATCGGATGTAGTGCTGATATGACGGATGGAGTAGAGGGTTTGGACTTACACACACGTTTGAAATGCGCTGTTTTCCCACAGGCTTTGCAAATGGTATCTTTCGCAGGACACTCTAAGAGGGGATGCTTAGCGGATCCACAAAAATAGCACGCCATGGGCACCACTGACACAATCGGTTCAGCCTCAGCTGAGTTAGTGGGGTGATGAAGTGTACGTGGAACAGAATTTGTCGAGGCACAAGGAATAATTGCAGTCCCATAAAACTGTGATTGTTTCAGAGCAACCTCTAGCGACCTTGCCATAGTATAAGCAGGCTGAAAATGCAAGACTGCCTGCTCCAGGTGCCTCGTTTGAATGGTGTTTGATTGTAAACCGGTTATGAGGGCATCACGCATAGCGTCGTCGCAATGTTCGTCAGCTGAGACGGTGAAAATCGCAGACAATCGCCAAAAGTTTGACGCTTTGCGTAAACTGATCCATGTTTTGTCCACATTTCGGCTTGTACGTAGTTAAAAGGTATCGAGCAAAACCACATTTTTAGAATGCACATACAGGAACTGAAGAGGTGAAACAGCATTTCGAAGATTCTGCATTCTGCGACATGCTGATACACGGAAGGAGGCAGAAAGTTGACAAGCATGTCCAGATTATCCGAGTTGTCAAAATGAACTCGCTTTGGAAAGGCGTTAAATTTTCGAAGCCAATACGGCCACTGTTTAGAGGCATCTGGAGCACTCAAATCAGTGTTGAATTTATTAGGACGAAGATAGCGGTCCAGTGTATTGTTAGACCAGTAAATTGATGCGTTCGACGGAAATAGCACAACAGACCGAATAACACGGAGTAGGAAGTATGCGCTTTACGGGTCTAAAAACGAAGGTCCACCAACTGAAAGGTAAAAGAGTTGTTTATGATGTGACATGTACAAGGGGGCAAGTGTATGCCTACGACACCGGGCATAGACAAGAAAAAAATCGTCAGCTGTACGCCGTAACGGCGCTTCGCTGCCGCCAGTCGCGCGTGGGCTGAGAATGCCGCGAGGACGCCCGCCCCTACGCGGATTCGAACCGGTGACCTTGTAATTGCAAGACAGACGTGTAGACCACTCGGCCGACTAAACATTGTTCAATCTGATGTGAGTGGCTCTGAAGGTGCAAGGACAGCACTCAGCACAACACAAAGGATCTCTGAGGTACGCAAATCATCGCACTGTGCTCAGCTTCATTGCGAATGGGTTCCGGAGATAGCAGATGTCAACTGAAGTATAATACTGGAGTTCTGTAACAGTCTCGAATATACGACAGGCATCGATAGCAAATGAGTCCAGAATACCCGCCAGGCCGACCTGCCTCCCAAGCTGTACTAGGACTCGTTTATTGATTGTCCTCATCCAGAATGAAGATCAGGGTAGAGGGAAGGTGTC